GAGGCCAACTGCCAGTGTGCTGACGTTGTATGGATGAACTAGCTAAAATCTCTGTTGGTAAAGAAATGGATCTGGAGCGCCGCCGCTGTTCAATATCAATATCGATGACGCTAGAAGAGAGAAATGGATGGAAATAATGCTGAGGCCCGCACGATGAATGAGACGGGTTATCTAAGTATTAAAGTATATTCATATTATATAATTCTTGAAATGAAAAAAACGTCTTCCAGGAAGGCCACCGGTCGGACCAGAAATATAATAGTTGCTCCAAAAAGGAGATCGCCAATCATTTTAGGAATCAGTAGATGGATATTCATTTTCCCACCTTACAATTTCCAAAAAAGATTATTCGCAGAGCCATTAGACTGTAAATACTCAAAATGACTTTCATTGCAACTTCTATGGGGACTAAATGTTCATTTTGAAATCACTGCTTAAAGAGCTATAGGGAATTCATCCGGATAACGTACTTATAAAGCGCAACTGCGATAAATTCTCATTAAAAAATTATTGTATGAAAAGATACAATTTTGCGCGCTCCATATTTAGAATAAGCAACGTCGCGATAGCTATCCTAGCGTCAAAGAATACTGATTCAACAATAATTCATAAATAGAAATTCTCTTAGCTTTCAATTCAAATGGATAGAGAATTTTAGGTTTTATTTAATGTAAACTAATACTACCTGCAATCATCACATTGCCATTTTTCCTCTTCACCATCACCGTCTGGGGTATACGTGGACCATGGGGGACCAGCACAAAGTCTATGACAGTGAACGCCACATGTCTGAGAAAAGGCAAAGTAGCTGATGAGGAAGCCTGACAGATCCAAAATAACTCACAATGCAACCATTCAGAGCCTCAAAAGGATTGAAAATCTGGTCATTTAGTGCGTCACTGTCATCGTATTTGTCTGGTCCTAATGAACTCAAACAGCTTCTGAAATAAGCAGAAAAATTTGCAAGCAAACATGCAGCCGAGTTCATTTGCAAACCGAACAGTTCCACCCAGGTGATGTTCAAGTCCCGATGAGAAATTACTGGGTCTGATGCGAGTAAACCTTAAGAGAAGAAGATTTTATACCGTTCTTTAGCTGCGGCGCGAACCATAGCGTAGTAACATCGGGAGCGATTATCTCCATTGGAACTTTCTTCTTCAGGGTCAGACATGGGATTGCTGCAATTCTAAGCTATACAATATTCAAATAAATGAACGATTTTCTGCAACTCACTATGTTTGGAAGTAGATCCCCTGTCGTTTGATGGTCTCCTCAAAAAAAGTTTCCTCATTTGCTCGATTACATGCAGGACATCGCATTTCTTGCCCTCGTACCAATGTCGCATTCTGAACATTAAGGAAATATTGAG